TTTATTTTTATTTTTAATTTTTTTAATTTTTTTTTAAATTTTAATTTTTAATTATTTATTTTTTTGAGCACTTTTGAGAGCCTTTGCTTTTTCACTTTTACTTCAGTTTTGCAGGAGTATTTTTTTAAATATCTGGACTTCCACTTAAGTAAAGAATGTCTATTTTGCCACATCTTGATCCAAGCAGTGCTTCTGCAATAAAAAAAAGAATTTTTCCTCCATGAAGGGACATGCTAAGTGGATAGGTGATATTGTGCGGGCATTGTAGCGCATTATTCTTTATTTTGTAAGCCAGCTGTGTTTACACACACGCAGCCTGCAGGTACAGTCTGCAGAGGGACTAATATTTTTCTGCATGCATGAACACATGCAGATGACACCTTGCTGCTGTGTGGTCACGACTGGATTGTTTTACATCTGTTACTGCATGGGAAACATCTGGAACTCTCAATCTAGGCTGAGAAAGTAATTGCAGTTAATGTGTATAGATGGTGATGATTAAAGCTGACGGAGGTCAGTGAACAGCTCGTCTCTGCTTCTGATCCGTGCTGTCGCACAGTGACGCCGGCCTGCAGGTGCGTGAATCTTTTTCTCTGGTTTCAAAGCTGGTATGAAGGATCGAACTGTTCTGTGTCCCAGGTCGCCATCCCAGTGGTGTCCATCAAAAACATCAAGAAGACCAAAACTGCCATCCTGTTGCCAAACGCTCTGGTGATCGCCACCACAAATGACAGGGTGAGAGAAATCTCGCTGCTTCTCACCACGATTTGATGAATTAAGAAAAAAACACAGTATTTTTGCACATGTGGAAAAGTATTCCAAAAGACTTTTTTTCTATTTCTGCTGTTGCAGTACGTGTTTGTGTCCTTCTTGTCCAGAGACAACACCTACAAGTTTTTGATGTCGATCTGTCCTCATCTGGAGGTACGAAAGGCTTTTTATTTAGATCCACGCATACCTGTTATGCTTTCCTTGTTTTCTGTCATGTATGTACTGCTCATGATCAACAGGAAGACATTGTGAGCCGAAAACTCGGGCTTTAAACTAAACACTCAGTTTCAGATAATTTTCTGCTTTCTTATGTTATTCATTTTAAATAAGTTTGAAGACTTGAGGATCATTTAAACACATGATGTTTGGTTATGTATTGCATGCATATAAATAGGGGAAGAGTCCATGCAGCAGCCCCCTTCCCTCCTCAGCTGAAAACAGCTTTAGAAGTCAGAGGTCACCGCTATCGCCTCGCTTTCCTCTGGTGGGTCAAACACAGCAAAAACACAAACACAAACAGCCGAATACCATAAAGTTTCCTGATACAACAGATACTGTTTTTATTCTGCCTACATATAATAAAATATATAAGAATAAGAAAGCATCATGCTTTTGGGTCCATGTCTCTCTGGTCTCTTTTCTGACAGAAGGATATTTTAACACATCAAACTTGAGGTGAAATAAAACCGATATCCTCGAGAGCTGGAGCTGTAACGTGGCAACTAAGCATTTCAACCTATGGGGACAGAAGCTGTTCAGAAAAAAAGACTCCCTGCATAAGAGTTGGCAAATCGTTTAGTAACATTTTGCATATCTTACAACTGGATATTTGTTGCATGTTGTGTTTATGCATTCAACAAAGCTGTGTCCAAGAGAGAAGGCTATCCTGTGAGACACTTCCTGCTGTCAGCATCAATCGCCCCAGGTCCTTGTGGCTAAAGCTTTATGTATTTATTTATTTTTGGCCACTTTATCCCCAAACAGGATCTTTGAAATGTTACTTTTCCCATTTTAATTCATTTTGTGTTTTCTCTGACCCCAAAAGTCTTTATCTCTAAAAGTGATGCTTTTAGAGTGCCTGTGCAATTTAATACAACTGCATAAACTCCACAAAGCAAATGTGTTTTAATATAATCATTTACTTTGAATGTTGAGGTTGTAGGTGAGTTATTGTAGTTTTATCATTTTAATTACTTTTGATTGATATGTTTTGTGTTTTTGCTTCACGTTCGGTTTATTTTCAGTTAATTTCCCATGTGTGTTGGCTCCTTTCATTTTACTTATTATTGTTTGAACGTCTTGAGTTACAGTTTAGTTTTTATTAGTTTAGACTTTTTAAATATTATATTACATGGGATATTTGCCAAGGGATACATTTTGGAAGTTAAAATAAAAGATAAAATTAGCTGACACAGCGAAGCCGACGTCCAGTTCCTGCAGCAACATCTGCAACAAGAACATCAGCAACTGGATGTTAGGTTTTAGATTTTATTTTAGTTTTTAACGTA